AATGTAAGATTTTGGTTGCAACACGCATGAAAATATAAATGAATGGACTTCATTTTCTTTGGCAAGTGACCATGGTATTAGCGGGATAATGGCCATTACTAGCCTAACTCGACCCTCTACTGTATATTCCTCATTTCTCACTGTTGAGTGTGACATCCACAAAACTGTAGGCTACACATCAACACCACCAGCGGATGCTATGGACACACTGAATGTGGGAAAAGAAACGGAAACAATCTATTCACCTCATCAATACTCAGTAGGCGGAACTACTCTGAGCAAGCCTAAAGCACTTTTCCACCATTTCCATGTTTGATCCACCCACATATACAAGTTCTGTGTTACATAAAGTGCCACCTCTAGTGGTCTGTAGATCCCCCACCCCCCCCTCCCCAGCTGCACTGTGTGCACCAACATACAGTATACATGGTTGTGTGCGCATAAAGCACACAATGACGTTTATACAAAGAAACACACAACCCACTTCAAACATCACATTTCCAGCTTAATGACGACTGTCTTCATCATGTTGTCGCCATCAATATTCACAATGCTGCAATGGCACTTGCCACTGAAATGTATTATGACTAATGTGGTTCTTTAATAAGAAAATTGACCCGAAAGAAAAACAGGCAGGGGACTTGAAATTGGGGAAGTAATGGTGGCTGAGAGAGAGGAAGGCTAGTCAGTCCATTACTGTTAACACCTCCCCCGTCCACCCGGTGGTGATAGTAACTGCCTGGTTCACTGACATCATCCCCCCCACCTCATGCATGAGGCAGCTGATGCTGAGGCCCTCTCACCGTTTCCATCAGCTGTTTTAACTTCCAGCTAACACACATTGAATATGAATCATGTATTAAATATAGCATCACAGAGAACATTTAAATAGGGTGCTAAGGAATAGATCTCCTGATACTATAATAACATCAGTCTGACAATCGGTTGAAAATGGAGCCTGTGTGCTTTCTTTCTTTCGTTATTTTTAGCACACCGATCCATCTCTCTAGGTGCACATTGTGCCCCCCCCCCTTGGTGCCATGCTGAGGAAAGTCACTGCCAGCCCCCCCTCAGAGCGTATCACAAACATGTACAGTACAAACACTAAGGGTGCTGTGTTGTAAGTGTATGAGTAACCACTCATTGCTAAACGTAACTGCCGGTGCACAAAGCCCTTAACAAAGCAAACTAGATGTGGTCAACCAACAGGGCGGGTGGACAGTCCCACTAAACTGCATTCAGCAATTACACATTTCAATGAAGACTTGCTATCTGGAAATGGTACATACATTAACTTAGGGAACAGGTTATTAATATCTAGTAATGAGAGGTTCAGCCACTATTGTTATGTATTCAATGCAGTCCAGAAAAGCAATGTTTTACTTCATTAAATTCAAATTGTTTTAATATACATTGCTCCCAGTATAAACTGCGAGAAGAGAAGAGCCAATCTCATCTGGGCTCTGAACCACCGTAGCTGGCTAGGACTATCGTCTGGATTGTATTCAGAGTAATACTAGTAATATTGTAGTATTCACGTCCAAACAAGACCACGTAAGTAGGTACGTACGTACGTGCTGGTCAGTAAAACGTGCAACCATCAAACCAGCCTCCGTTTAAATAACTGCCATTTTAAAGACAACATTATAGTGGTATCTCTTCGTCAACCGGGTCCAAAACGGTACATTTGAAACACACTGTATCCACCACACATGATCTATTGCAACACACATGCTAATGATGTTGTAGTTGCGCCACACATAAGCTCGCTTCACCAGAATAAGGCTCCACAGACGTGATTCTTAACGATGGCATTTACCGAAATGCATGTCGTTTGCTCAACCACATCATGCGAAGTTATCAGTAGAGTATACGAATTTGTCTCAAGGTGTGATGTCTCTTTCAAGTATACGTCTGTCTGAGTATGAGCAATACCATAAAACGAGCAGATTGTTAAAGGAGTTAGATGTTCGGGTTTCTCCATATACAAGATCGAACCAAAACACACGGGTCGGTTAAATAGGGTGTTCAAAGGGGGTTTAAATCATCGCCTATTGAAAAGAACAGTAGTGAGAACACTTGCACATTGGTCTGTTTGAAAGACAAGTAGACTTACGGCGATGCTGGGAACAGCAGTCTCTGGTCGCTCGATCATTGTACCGTGCTGTCACAACCCTGCCTGTCACCGAGGCATACACTGATTAACGTCCAGAAGAATGACGGAGCGGAGGGTAATGAGCTACTTTGCACCCTTAAACCCGTTGTTTGGTGTCAATAAAAAACGCAAAGTGCGTCTGTAGTCGAATGAATGAGGTTATATTACATATGGCCGCTGACGGATACTACTACCAGATACAGCACAGTGAAGAAAATGCTCCAACAACTGTTTTTCTTCACGAGGCAAACCAATTGTAGGTGTGTATGTGGATAATACGTCCGGTGAGGAATTTCAGAATAAGACAAAATGTATCGCAACAAATGTATACGTCGACAAAAAAAGTACAATTGAATATATAAAGAAATAAATAACAATTCTGGTGTACTGGTTTTTGGGTATATGAGAACTGTTTTAGTTTCAAGGGTTAAAGTTTACCCCCCCCCCCCCTATTCAAGCTAGCTTTTCCACTCGCACTGACCAGACAACTTTTCCCATTTTTGTATTTCTCAAAGCCTAGAGCTGGGGGTTCTGCCCATATCATCAAGTTAAATTGGTAATATCTTTCAGGACATTCGAAATGTAATGTTATTGTTTATTTTGCTAGCATTTAACGACTAAACTCATGGAAGTTCGAGCTGTAATACTACAATAATAGTTGTTTTCTAAAACAGCTACACAGTAATATATATCAGTTCTGCTTCAAATGTGAACAAGAAACTCCAGTATCCTTCCTATTTCAGAAAGAGCAACTACCTCGTAGCAAAGCACAATGAGACGCGACAATCGGAGGGCAGGATTTGGGCTCTTATTTTAAAAGAAAACCCGCTTACGTTCCGGTCTATAGCTGTGCCTGGCCAGCTTGATTCACCCGGATCCATCTTCCAATTGGTCAAACGCGATAGTGATAGCACTTTGATCGTGTGCACGTGAGACGTTCATGTGCTGGAGGCGAAACATTGCTGCCTTCAAGGACTGTTGTGAATAGCGTTACTGAACAATTACCAACAACGCGGTAAATGCGGCTTGACATTCATTTGGATTTCCTTTCATTTGGATGACATTCATTTGAATTTCCTTTTGTTGCCGATTTTCCACCGATTGTCGCGATCATTTTGGAAGTAATCAGTCTGATTGCTGTGAACATAAATACTTCGGTGATACTCGTGATGTGCTGTGATACTCTGGCACTGTTAGGACCGAGTCAATGGAAGAATTAGGAGTTTCCTCGCAAGTTGCCAAGATTCACCGTAAAGTCCCGCTGATCAGCAACTAATTATATTCATAAGGTGCTTTGCATTGACCATTTATGGTTGGATGTGTGGCTGAACCAGCTGCACACATTTACAGGGTGATTTGGGATTTATAAAAGAAAGGTTTTATAAATCTGAGTATTTTTTGGCGTACCTACATTTCCTCCTTTGAACGTACGCAAACATTTAGTGTGGATCCTACGCTCTGTTTCAGAAATGAGACCCCTGGTCTTGATTGTGCCTTGGATATAGATAGTCCATTGGCGCGCTCTAGTGGCTAAGAGAGCAACTGCCACCAGAGTCCAAAAATGTTACCTCTAATTTAGCGAAGAGCATTTTTGTTGGGCCAATAAATATTTTAGAGGAGATACTTATCAAATATTTATAGAGTTGAACTTATTAATGCTGTAGTCCAGTACACATTATCATATAGTTCAATATATTCACATGTATTTGAAAATTTTTTAAAAAACGGAACAAATTAAACTTTTACAGATAAAACTTTTATTTTGAAGTGAACATTAAAGACCAGCATTTAGTGAACTATGGATACAAGTGGGAATTACAGAATGATCTAACAGAAATATGTATCTAAAGTTAGCTAACATCAGCCAACATTGGCCTCCATAAGCTTCTGGTCATAGTAGCGGACCAAATAACGCTTTAGGGACAAAACCTCTGAGTGTATTGCATTGATCAAGAATGTGTTTTATTATCTCGCCCAGGTGTTAAGTCTGTGGGGAGATCATGCGTTTGGTTGTGTGTGCGTGTATCTGTCTGTCTGTCCAGGGCTAATCTCTCATACTACCAATCAGCCTAATATTTTAGCTTGGTTATAACTATGCTCAAGGACCTCTCATAGTTGCGGTGATTATCCTATTTTACTTTACGTTCAATTCAGTCAGGAATAGTCTCGTCATAGATTTTTAACCATTTATTGGAACAAATGGAAACACAGTTAAACTTGGCACTGGTGGCTCCGCTCTTAAAATACTCCCTGGATTTAGCCAAGTAGCTACTAAGCCAAAATGGGGGGCACCAAGCATCAACCCCCCAGGTATGTTGGAGGCTTTTTTTTTCATGGCTCAAAAACTGGCATCCATAGAAAAGTTTGGTCTCATTTTGAAACAGAGCATCTGCAGAGTAATTCATACCCAATATGTTATGATCCACTCAAGTTAGGCATGATACAAGATAACTAAATCCTTTTGTAAAATATATATCTGATGCCATCTTGACTGTAAGGATGCCTGGAGGGACAATTGAGTGGGATTAAACTCTTTCTAGATGCTAAAGTGTTAAACTTGTCATTTTTAAAGCGGAACTCTTCAGTAATTCTTCTTCCGAAAGTGACTGGCTTCAAGAAAATGAGTTTTTGGCCCAGAAGGCAAAAACTCATTACTTCAGCCCTACTGAGGTCTCCACTGTTATCAGTGAGATACAGAGTCCTGCACATCTAAAGCTTACAGTTTCGTGAGAAAGCTGCTCAACAGTAAATAGCTCCATCTCTTCAGCATACACTAGTTTATGTCATATCAAAAAGGGAATTAAAACACGGGAAGTGTGAGGGAGAACAACAGAGACTAACAATGAAATATTATCTTGCTTTAATTCAACAGAATCAAATCAGTAGCTCAAGCATACAAAAATACATTTTGTACTTATCTGTACAAGTACTTGAATTCAAAACATGACCGTAAATCGTAAAAAAAAATCCACCATCACTTTAGTTTATACAAAAAAAAACAAGAGGAAGAGCTCACAGAGGTTCATTGTAGAAATAGTGGCATTGACCCGTAGCTTATACTCTACTGATAACAAGTGAAGTTGGGAGGCATTGCTCTTTTACAGTAAATGCAGTTTCTGTTAAGTCAATTCAAATCACAAAGCAACAGTATTTCACAGTGTTGACGGTCAGAGTGTAAGCAAAAACTATACATATTGTTGCATATACTCAAATTAAACTTTTTTTAAAGTCAGAAATGTAGAAAACAGTATGTGTCTCTCCACGAGTGAGTCACAAAACATAACAATATTTTGTGTTTTAGTAAATATTTTGCATATAGATGGACAGATGCCCTCCTGCAGACCTTATGGTAACGCATCTTTGACAGTTTGAATTTGCAGCATCAAGAAACAATAACTGGCCAGATGTTGTCCACCAGAAGCTCTGATAGGAGGGACGTGGCCTCGCCAGTTACAGGTTGGACGTCTCTCCTGGGACAGATTTGGCGTCCAGGTGGTCGATAAGCTCCTTTACCCAAGCGGCTGAGGGTCTGGCACACAGGTGACGCCCCGCCACGGTCTTCAACCTGAACACACACACAAAGCAGGACATGTCAGCGAGTCCACGCGCGGAGACAAAGGCGGCGAGGACGCGTGTCTCTGAGGACGCGTGTCTCTGAGGACGGGTACTTACAGGACGGCGGGCTTGGAGCACCGCTGGCTGGTCCTGATGTAGCCGACCACTCTGTCGCTGGGCACCTCGATCTCATTGAAACGAAAGCAGCATCTCTTGGGGCCGGCGCCACGCAATCCTGAAAACAAACACAAACCAATGAACAACTTACACACACTCACAGACATCACGTTTGTCGCTTTTGTGTTTCCATTTGATTTCCTCTGAAGGCGCTATCTGATACTGTTGTCGAATGGGTTGTTCCATTGTCATACTGACAAAAAACCGGATGCTTGTTACTGTTAAAGGTATACTGTATACATCGATTCAATTTAAAGGGAGTCACAGCTAAATATGGTACACACATGTAACTAATGGGTATCACCATGAAAACTTGAGAACATTATATTTTGTATTACAAGTTTACAGAAAATGTATGTTTAAATATGTAAATACTGCATTATCTTATTAAATATGTGCTACTTTTCATACATTTCCAGAACAGAAATCTGAACATTGGACAAAGCCAGGTTTGTTGTTTCATTTTGTTGACATATTAGAGTCAAAGGTTTTTATAGAGGGAATTTTAGGTATGTATGACTCCATGTATCAGAAAATATTGTCAACAGCCATTAAAAAAAAAAATCCATTTTCCCCATGTTTCTAGGAAATTAGGCTATGATTGATGTACGAACAAACTCCTCTGTAACAACCTTCAGAACATAGAAAGGAATGAAAGTGTAAAGTTTGGTGTATGTACTGAAGTGGAGATTTCTGGATCAGAGTCTGAGAAAGAACTAATTTTCAATAAATGTTTTGTAAAATTACAGACATTTTGAAGACACTACAGGTGAATAGGGTAAAACAATTAACGAATAGATATCTACATGAAATATCACCAGTTGATTGCTTACATTAAGACTATTATTTTTTGTATTGCAAGTTTTCTGAAATGTTATGTTTAAATATGCAAATTAGGCATTATCTAATGCTAACTTTTGGTGAATTTAGGAGAAATCTACAGACACAAATAGACAAAGTGTTTAAACACCTAACTGTGTCCTGTGGATGTTAAAAAAATCTAAATTTTTTTAGCTTGTAGCATATGAAAGTAAGCTGCAAACAAACATCTGAATGATATTCTAGGGTCAATTTCTCTTTAAGAGTAAGACTAGAACAATGTCAAAGTCCTTTCATACAACTAGTGTACATGGCACTGGATCAAATCAGGGTTTCACAACCTTTAAAGCTGCATTGATAGATCTTATTTAGTAGAATAATACTACATATTACCACCTTATAACGTTGTTAAATGTTATGTTTGTTTGAGCCGATCAGATTGAATCACATCCATTATATCAAATGTACCAGTGTCACCATCAACATTTATACGATTGATTGAATGTGTTCCTACCTTCAGTCAGAGTGACGGCAGCCAGCATCAGCACCAGCACGGACAGAGCAAGATGAGCAGCAGCCATGTTCCCTTCACTGTGTAGTAGTAGGTGAGTGTTATCAGCCTGTTCTTCTCTTCTGCTGTATGAACTTGAACTCACACCTTTATACAGTTCAGGAGCAGCCGGGGGGGAGAGTCCCAAAGCTCCTGTGTTGAGACTTCACTATGACGTGTCAGTATCTCTCCTCTTGATCTGTGGGGGATTACCGGGAGTTTCATGTGTGGGCCGCGTGTGTTGGTGGGAAGTCCATTTCACTTCCCTAAACACGCTGACATTCACTGATTCACTGAACCCTGCGCTCAACGTGTTAAATAAAGAAGTACTTTTCTTTGTTTTCGAGCGTGGTTTCCCTGTGAATTACACAATACTTGTGACCAAGACTACTGTACTTTCTGTTCGCCACCTACACGTCACAGCTACAACAGTTCTTTGGGAGCCGCTACATAGAACCAATATTATTAATATACAAAGAGGCAGAAGCCAGCCGTCTCCCCCTACACACAGAATGAGAAAGCCTTTTTGCTTGACTGATAAATGTCCATATATCTGTAATACAGAACATTTTGCCTGACAACATTCTTGTAACAACATGTTCCCATACCATTTCTTCCTTTCCTGAGGACTGGCCCACCGGCTGCTAACAGCTAATGCTAATTAGCTCTCCTTCTGCCGATTTTAACATAGATTTGGAGGCACCTTCGATACTGTTGTCAGATAACACAACCTCAGGGCAGTTTGTGAAATAGTTACAAAGTGCAACCAATTGGTTTCGTGTACAGGGACACGAATAGGCAATTTGTTTCGTGGCTTGAGGTTAGGTTGATCATGGTTGGGCTTGAAATAACTTTGTACAGTTCAGTTTTGGCGACAAAACCATGTAGTTATGTTTAAGAATACCGTCACAAACTTTAAGTTTAGGCAACAGAACCACAACAATACTAATTCGTGAGTATTTCACAAAATGCCATGGATACTAGATTGTATTGGAACAACTCTATCAAGAGAGATTAATGGGTGATTGAGTGGCATGCAATACATCTTTTCATTACAAGGAAGTTAAACTTCCCAGTTTGGGGTTTTCAAGGGTTTTCACTAGGATCACTGCACAACAATGAAATCATCAACACGAGAAGGAAGACTTCATTTTGACGGTTTGGACTGAATGAGTGGTTCCAAACCCGGTCGTTCCCATTTGACAAAATTCTACTTTTCTTTTTCACAGCTTTTGTCAAATATTTTTTGTCTTGTAAAACACGTGATATGTTCAACATACAAATATATTTTGGGCGAACTGCTCATGTCCACACTGAGGCAAAAACCTGTGAAGTAGATTCACAATCACACTGGATTCCTTTTGACGGGGTTTGTACTGGCACAAATTGTATATATGTAAACTAAATGATCTTTTATCAGGGAAAAGGTGGGCTTCCATTCGAGTACACATTGTACTCTTTGCACTGTGTTGACTGTTTAATGTTATGCACCATCTACCAAGTAAAATTCCTTATATGTACAACATACACTGGCAAAATAAACGGTTCTGATTAAGATTCTGGTTCTGTACCATAACAGGTGAGCTTCATGTGAGAACTCTAGTACATCTGTATGTCTGACTCATAAAAATAATCATAAATAGTCATAATAATCCTTTTACCACAACTGAAGCAGATATATATGAAGACACCTTGCAGCAGCCGGATGTGATGAGATGAGTTTCATGTACAAAGAGACAGACATTTTGTTGTGCCTTGTATTACAAGGAATCTCAAGCCATTTACTCTATAGGACAAGAAAGCAATTATTTTTCAGGACTACAGTAATTCTCTATTAGGGTTGTATGACAAAAGAATATGAAGATCGTTTACATTACTAGTACTGGAGATGGATGAAGACCATGCGGTTGAAAGCTCAAAAAGAAAGCCAGTTGGTGGATTATTTTGTCCAAAATCCAAGGTCAAGATATTCATGCTCAATTCAGTTATGATGATTTGCATTAGAGTTCAGGGACAAGACCAATTACTTCACTTCTTGTTATGGTTTAAGACTGTAAAGGCGCTAAAATAAAAGACATGTTGAGATGGATGACTATGTGTTAAACAATTCATAGCAACGGGTTTTTGGGTCACTTAAGACTGTATAGAAGAAGTGGACGTAGTCACTGTGGTGTCACCCATTGACTTGTGGATTACGGTTTTGAAGCCTCCAGTTTGGCGATTTGGTCATCACCATCTTGTTTTTTTTGCAACCAGTGACCATAATTGGACAGTGGAGGAGTTATGTAAAGATGCCGTATACGGCTCTGGTAGAGACCTGTCGATCACAGTGTAGCCCCGCCCTAAAGCATACCCTGCTTTATGGTCTATTTGATTTACTAAATGAACATCATGCTGTATTGAAGAAGACTTGAAACTAGAGATTGAGACCATAAACTCATGTTTACAATGTTTACTGAGGGAATAAATCAAGAGAGAATTAGAGTCATTTTCTCATAGACTTCTATACAACCAGAGGAGTCGCCCCCTGATGGACATTAGAGAGAATTCATGTTGAAGGCGCTTCCACATTTGCTTTTCTTCTCAGAACCAGAGGTTGCCGCCTGAATGAAACTAAATGACAAGAGTTGCAGGTCGTAAAACCTAAACAATGAGCGGAAAAATGCTGTATAGAGCTAAGGGCCAACTGCAGAGTTGGATGAGGATTCTCTATTAAATAATTAAATAATTGCATATATCAAAGTATTGATTAGTGCAGCTTTAATTGTCTTTTTTCTGGCCACATGGGGGCAGTAAAACAAGTATGTAGCATAGGGCAAGGAAGAAACCATTCAATTTTGAAGCAGATTCGAATAATGAAGATAAACTGTGAGGCACACAGGGCAACAACTTAATTTTTCATGCACTGATTAAGTTAGAGATTTTGTTAAATTTTTATTTTTTTAGAAATCTCAAATTCAGTAGTAGCCTACTTACATACACCAACATTTCCAGTTTCATTCCTATCTATATTCTGAAGGTTTGTGAAGAGGGGTTTGTTCATACATCATTCATAGCCTGATTTATAGAACATTTTAGTACTAGAAATGTGGAGATTAAAATTTTTATTTTTTTAAATTTTCTGACTTATTAAGTAATACAAAGAGATACCCAAAATCCCCTCTATAAAAACGTTTGACTCCAATATGTTAACAATATGAAACAAGAATTTTGAATCTGGCTTTATCCAATGTTCAGATTTCTGCTCTGGAAATTAATGCAAATTAGAAGATATTTAATAAGATAATGCCTCATTTGCACATTTATATACCATTTCAGAAAACTTTGGTTTTAATGTAACTACCAGCATTTGAGAAAAATATCTCTCTTCAGCTGCTAAATGCTTTTTAACTGAACACACTGGTATAGAGAATCAAGAAATACCTCAGAGCTGAGAATTAATTGGAAATCAAACAAAGCCGTTTGACATGTTCAGTCTTACCGCCTTGTATTTGTCATATATGGCTGATCTGACTTTAGTTTCAGTGTAAAGGGAGTTTTCCACACTTGACAGAGTACCCTATGTAAATTTTTTGTGCAAAATATCTCCCTGTTCATGAAAAGCAGAAGGAGTACTTAAAAGCCTCTTTCACTTCTTCATGCTTTGTCCTTTAAGCGAGACAGGTTTCTTTTTTTCTTTTTTTAAATTTGTCCTTATTCAAACATGCATATTACTACATATTGGGAATATGATTGATCAGTCCGATATTATGTCCTTTCGCTTGAGGTCAACCAGTGCTTCCGCTGAACACAAGCCAGTGGTACAAATATCAACATCACTATTGGCTGTTACATTGATTATTAATGCAGCGTTTCCTCATACAATGATAAAGTTATCCCTCAAAAGTCCAGCAACATCTCTACTTGCATACAGCTTTTTCAAAATAAACTTCTGTCTTCACAGGAAATAACTTGCAACGAAACTAGTTAGTTAGGTTTAGGAAAAGATTGTGAAATATTTTGTTAATTTAAGGAAGAGATTGTGAAATACTTGGTTAATTTAGGGAAAACATTGTGAAATACTTGGTTAATTTAGGGAAAACATTGTGAAATACTTGGTTACGTTTTGTAATAGAGCATGGTCTGGGTTAAAATAACTACTGAAGTGGCATTTAATATGGAAGTTATGTGACAAATAAATCAACGTTGACTTCTGCAGCGGTCTCCTCGTTGAAAGAGTTCTTTTGTTTGACCCATCCACCTCCCCTCCCATCTTCACAATGAGGCTTTTTGCGGTCTTTATACTTCCTGGACCATGATTACGATGATTAAATGTAAATTCATTTTGGTGAGATATCTATGAATTACAGTGTATTACTTTTCGTAGGTTCACACGTGACATGAGCAGCAGCCTCCTTCGTTAGAGCCCTGTGTTCTTAGACTTCTGCCGAAACACATACTGTATTTGCGATATGTCAAAATCCACGACAGAATACCGTAATTCACAATGCAGTTTTTGATGTACGGAAAAATAAGTTTTAGGCGGCAGAGCTGGATTTTACAGTTTGTTTTTACCGTTAAGTCGCACTAATCATTATTCTTATATGAACGTTGGTTAAAATATTCCCCCTCCGCTCTGTACACTGTACTCATCAACATAGTTTGAAGCTTCAACAGGCAGCTGTTTCCAGTGAAAATAAGATTCTGACAAAGCAACTGTTTACAACCTGCCCAGCACCAGAGAACAGATAGACAAATTTAGCGACTAGCTAGCTTCACTAGCTAGTGAACTAGCTAGTGAAGCATTTAGCAGCTCAAATCCAATATTGGCCAATACTGGCCAGTGCAGCTGTAATAGGATCTCACTGTTGTTACTACACCTAACATATATTTGTTTCACCTTAGAAATCGTTCATATTTCCTCTTATTAATTGAATCAGCGGCTAGGTGACTGAAATGTCAGGGTCCCACCTAGCCTTTGTATATTAGCTAAAGGGCTCACCATGAGCACACAACATCAACAGAAACCTCAACTTTGCCTTTACACCTTCGCCTATAATTAGCCAATCAGCTTCTTTGACCGCAACTTTCCTCAACTGTGGTCAAAAATATGCAAAAGCACAAACACAGAACAATTAACAAAAACAAAAAAAAGACTCAAAATCATAAAATGAATTACCTCTTTTAAAAACAACACAATAGTGTGGTATCATCATGAAGCGGTAGCACAGCAGCAGTGACACTGCTTTGGATGCTTTGGATCTCTCCACGCCTAATGATGAATTGCTTGGCAGTGTTCAGGTCTTTACACCCAACGCATAACTTATTTACCCTAAAGGCCTTTACGCAACGGGGGCGTGACAAATAAATAACACAAAGTGGATCTGGTCAGCGCTGCTTTTGTCAAGGTGAAATGAGGAATAAAGTTGGCCGTTTTGGCTCAGGTTGCTGAGCCTCCATGTTGTTATTTCATAAATCTAGGCACAACTTAACCCGTTCTGTACAAAGTGATTGGCTGATACCTTTACTTGCAGTGTGAAAGGTCAGACAAATCGACCTAGTTTGCAAATAAAAAAATTACAGTTTGCCATCTTCATTCCTGCGACAGAGCCTTCGTGTTGTTGAGCACTATAGTGATTAGTTAATGATTTCGTGTGAAAAGTGCTCATGACAAAAAACATAAATAACAAATATATTGATGTGCGAATCACTAAACGCCCCTGGTGTGTAAATGCCTTCAAGAGCAGATTCTCAAGGAAACTATGGCACCTTTTTGTCTCTCACTATAAAATCCTGACCTATAGTGTATTTACATGATTATTTACCCAGTCAATAACCAGGATTTGATCTCATCGTAAGGACTCAACCTAAAGAAAGCAGAAGCTTGGATTGAAAAAAAAGCACAGGTACAAATCTTTGTAATATGAAGGATATATTAGCCACAATAATTATAATGAGTCATAAAGATGACTCAGAGCAGCCGGTGATCTGCTGACTCACACTGAATGTAAAAATGATAGTAGGACATACATAACAGAACCAATGTTTCCACCCACACACACACACACACCCACACTGCACTGTTGATTGTTTAATGTTATGCACCATCCGCCATGTCAAATTCCTTGTATGTGCAACATACCATGGCAAATAAACGGTTCTGATTCTGACACACACGCACATCTGTAAACTCACACTGTATTCTCCATCCTGTGTTACCATTCAGCAGTGTGTTCAGACCAACACAGATTAGAACATTTTTATTGAAAAAAAATAAAATAACACGATGAGCTGCCTGAACATACACATTTCCGTTGAAGCTCTTCTCTAGTGCTGCTGTAAACATTGTTCACTGTGCAGACCATGGAAATCAAACAGTATCTGGAAACCTAAAGTGTGACTGTAATGCATGTTTTATTCAGAGAAACACGGCATTTCTACATAAGTGATTTTCCACACACATCTCCAAAAGAAATATGTACAGCATGAGTCTGAAGTTGTCCCATGTTGACTGATGGGACACAAACATGATCCATGTGTTCTCAGGGCGGGACATCATTCATCTGGAGGTTCATGCTAGCACGTTAGCATACATAGTGTTGAGTGATAGGGAGGCCACCATTACTACTGAAACAAATTAATCTTAAAAAACAAAAATGTATCCATTTTGAAAGAAGAACTAAAACAACCTTCCTAATAGAAATTATAAGCAGAATTCCTAAGTAATCAAACAACCAGTAAACCAGTAGCTTGTTGTGGCTAATGTTAGCAAGCTTATGTTAAAGCTACAGTTTGGTAACTTTCATGGAAATAGCTTTTTATCATATTTGCTGAAACTGTCACTATATCCTGACAGGAGTACACAAGACAGATGATCTGTGAAAGAGAATCCGGTTCCACTGCCTGCTTTTAGTGCTCCAAGTGGCATTTGCAATATTCCACCATGCCCGAAGGAAAACAACCAATCAGAGCCGAGGAGAAATCTCTAACTCAGCTGTCAATCACCGATTGTGAAGCTCATGAAATCCGGCCGAACTGCGCTGCTCAAATATTAATCAAGATTCTGTCACAGAATTGTCTATTTCTTGCCTCAAATGTTTTAACAAACATATTTTAGTGAACTTTTAAGCTGTAAAACTAAAAGGTTTGCTCCGGTGGGCGGTGCTTGGTTTTGGCTCAATGTTTTCAACATGGGGTCCGGGTCACAAACTTTCTATTCTAAACTTCTACAAGTAACTTTCATTTTGTGTTGATTTTGGTTGGTCCCTGTGGACGAAAGTGGTAGTGTTTCCGAGCACCAGAGTCCCTTTAGAAAACCTCTCATTTTACTGCAGCAGGGTTTGCCAGAACTACCCACTCAGTTCTGGTTCCGGTTCTTTCATCT